GGCCTTCCGGGACAACATATCAACCTTGCCCACAGCGCTACCAACTGCGCCACGCTTTACATATCAGGCCCGCGAATATTCAGCTTAAAGCACCTTCTCCCGGTTAGTCAACAAAACTTAGTTTGGCCGATTGAGGACCCACTAATCGGTGTATAAAAAATCCCTTTGGTACAATTGTTTATTACATTAAACTCTAATTTCGGGCCGAGTTTGAAATTTATAGGTTAATATTATAGGAAGTAACGGGAGGTGATGTGTGCGTGCCTCCTGATACGAGTTTTGTCACTTTTTCAGCCATTATTCGCTATTTAAAGAGAAAAATAATTCTTTTCATATATAGAACACTTTATTCACTTAAAAATATTGAAAAAGAAGTTAAAAAGATAACATAAATTTATGTAAATAAATAAATAAAAATTATCAAAAAGTTATTAGTTTATTAGCTATTATTCGCTATTCTAAAAATTAAATTAAATAGATTTTACAAATAGAATAGGCTGGAATAGACTGGATTGTAGGGCACTGGGCCCATGTCCTAGAGTTCGTGGGTTCGACACCCGCTGGCAAAAGTCTCCCCGTCTAGTAAATGGTGACTGGGGTACTTTTCCAGGAGTATCCTAGTCTTCTGGATTTGTTCATAATTACAAGGATACAGAGTTGAATATTAGTAGTCGTAAACACAAAAAATATTGGGTCAGCTGTTCAACGACGGTTGTAAAATATAAAATAGATTTTAAAACTATGTTCCTTTAGGAATATAATGTCTTCACTAAAAATTTGTGGTAACTCTCTCAATGCTGTAAAAACGCTTTATAATGTAATTAAAACATTTAAATTTAAATGAAATAAAATAATTATGTGAAATATAACGTATAAGAAATTTAAAACTGTTCTGAATTAAAATATGTATTATTAACTATGAAAGTATCCATCAGAAATTAAAATCTAAACTGAAAATTAATAATTAACTTCATAAATACGATATTAAATTATTTTAGTTGTTAATTGAAATAAATTTTGCTCAGGACTAGGCCTATTTTTTATTCAGTCTATCATAAATATTATTTTTGAAGTTTTCAACAGATTATTTCTTATAATAATTTTCTTAATGAAAGGGTGAAAAATATGTGCGATTGAAAAAGAACTATCAAATTAAAACTATGTAGATATAGTCGTAGATATAGTATCATTTTCGATAAGTTCCTCCTCTGATGTTTTGCTTACGAGGTGATGTGTGAACAAGCTTAATATTCTAAGAAGTTTTATTCTTGTGATTTGTGTTTAAATGTACTCTTAACAATTTTACCATTCATAAGAGTTTTCTGTGATTTATAAATTCTAACAGGTCGTGAGCCTTTTCAAATTTAAGAACAATAATATCACAACATAAATAAAGGATAGGGTTTTCCATGTTTTGAATGTTATCCCTTATTTTGCTATTTTAGTGTACAATATCCTCAACGAAGCGAGGTTGTCAGTGATATGAGTTGCTGGCTTTTGTCAGCTGCTGCTGTAGACAAGGCCTGCAAGTTGCTGTCACGCCGACAAAGAAAAAGAAGTGTACAAAATCACTGTAATGTTATTTTCAATCTCGTAATTGTATCATAGCTTGCTAGTGGAGTTATCCAAGTTCATTTGTTGTTTGCTTCGTTGAAATATAAATTGAAAGAACGCTTTATATTGTAATATTGGATGGCGCGACTCTCCACACGCTATTGGCGAAAGCATGCATTGCCATAGGTAAAGAGTGCTGCTCTATGCCGCCTATGTTCCGCAGTGGACTGTTAGTAAAGACACGGTTCCCAGTAGAACACCGAAGTCAAGCAAAACTGGCTGCAGTCAGTAAGCGGGTGGATCACCACTTTGATTAGTCTGAGTAGGGACTGAGGGTGAGCGGTATCAGGTTCTCGTAAGACTGTTCTGCGGTAAAGTATTCGACTTCGCGCGCAGGCCGTCTGTCTACCAAAGCAGGTTAGCCATCTCCTCTGCAGAGGATTAGAATTGAGATGACATGTCTTCGTATCATCCTCAGGGATGTTTCCCAGATAGTTGCAAATAGCACATCGTGCAGCTCTAGTACGATGTTAATAAAGTACCTACATACCATAGAGTTGAAATACTGGGTAGAGAGAGTAGAATAACCCCCGACCCGCGGACAAGATAAAGTCACGTGACTGTAGCCCAAACTTGCCGTTCACTGAGACCGCTTCGATTCCCGTCCATTCGTTTAGCATTGCGATCGTCTGATGCAATTAACTGTCTGTCTTTTTAATTCAGAAATAAGAATGGTACAAAAGTCCTGAGCATTTTACTGCACGGAGAAGTTTTCGAGGGACTGTCCGATAACTTTTTACAAGAAAGGGCGACATTTTTTTTCTCTTTTTCTATTTTAAAATTGATTTTAAAATTTTTCCGATACTCAGTCATGCTCTGATAATCATGTTTTATTTGCTTTAATAATCAATTACGCTCGTTTTTGCTCACTTTTTTTGCATTTAACATAAGTTTTTATTGTTTCTTAAACTTTAAACTTATAATGTTTAAGTATATTTCAATATATATTCTATTTTTAGCTGAAATAGCTGCAAAGCTTTGTTGGCTTCCTTGGCGAGATACTTTAGCGCCAAGGAACAGTTGAGTAAACTTTCGGTTTTGTTTTAGTTCTCTTTAAATGTCGATATCATTTCTGTATATTCTGAAGATTTTGTATATCTTTACCTCTTGATTACTAAAACCCAATATTTATCTTGTTCTAAAATGTTTCCTTTAANCGTGCCTCCTGATACGACTTTTGTCCCTTTTTCAGCCATTATTCCCTCTTTAACAAAGAAAAATAATTGTTTTCAGGTATAGAACACTTTATTCACTTAAAAAGTTTGAAAAAGAAGTTAAGAAGATAACATAAAATAATATAAATAAATAAATAAAAATTATCAAAAAGTTATTAATTTATTAGCTATTCTTCGCTATTTTATAAATTAAATTAAATAGATTTTACAAATAGAATAGGCTGGAATAGACTGGATGGTAGGGCACTGGGCCCATGTCCTAGAGTTCGTGGGTTCGACACCCACTGGCAAAAGTCTCCCCGTCTAGTAAATGGTGACTGGGGTACTTTTTCAGGAGTTTCCTAGTCTTCTGGATTGGTTCAAAATTACAAGGATACAGAGTTGAATATTAGTAGTCGTAAACCCAAAAAATATTGGGTCAGCTGTTCAACGACGGTTATAAAATATAAAATGGATTTTAAAACTATGTTCCTTTTGGAATATAATGTCTTCACTAAAAATTTGTGGTAGCTCTCCCAATGCTGTAAAAACGCTTTATAATGCATTTAAATTTAAATGAAATAAAATAATTATGTGAAATATAACGTATAAAAAATTTAAAACTGTTCTGAATTAAAATATATATTATTAACTATGAAAGTATCCATCAGAAATTAAAATCTAAACTGAAAATTAATGATTAACTTCATAAATTCGATATTAAATTACTTTAGCTGTAAATTGAAATACATTTTACTCAGGACTAGGCCTATTTTTTATTCAGTCTTTCATAAATATTATTTTTGATGTGTTCAACAGATTATTTTTTTATAATAATTTTCTTAATGAAAGGGTGACAAATATGTCCGATTGAATAAGAACTATCAAATTAAAACTATGTAGATATAGTCGTAGATGTAGTATCATTTTCGATAACTTCCTCCTCTGATGTTATGCTTACAAGGTGATGTGTGAACAAGCTTAATATTCTAAGAAATTTTATTGTTGCGATTTGTGTTTAAATGTACTCTTAATAATTTTTCCATTCATAAGAGTTTTCTGCAACTTATAAATTCTAACACTTAATTCTAACATAAATAAAGGATAGGATTTTCCATGTTTTGAATGTTGTCCCTTATTTTGCTATTTTAGTGTACAATATCCTCAACGACATCGAAAATGACCTGAAAACCCTGAAGATTAAAATTTGGAAGGGAGGTTGTCAGGGATATGAGTAATTGGCTTTTGTCAGCTGCTGCGGCAGACAAGGCCTGCAAGGGGCTGTCACCTTGACAAAGAAATAAAGTGTACAATATCACTGTAATGTATCGTTATTTTCAATTTCGTAATTGTATCATAGCTTGCCAGTGGAGTTATCCAAATTCATTTGTTGTTTTCTTCTTTGAAATATAAATTGAAAGAACGCTTTATAATGTAATATTGGGTGGCGCGACTCTCCACACGCTATTGGCGAAAGCATGCATTGCCATAGGTAAAGAGTGCTGCTCTATGCAACCTATGTTCCGCAGTGGACTGTTAGTAAAGACACGGTTCCCAGTAGAACACCGAAGTCAAGGACGTCTTAACCCCGCCCCGCCCCAAAAGAGGCATACGGTGACTATCGTTTGGATGACGTATATATACGGTGACTATACGGTGACTTGGTGACTATCGTTTCTGCAATCCTCGAATCGGTCGGAGGACCCGGTGGTGCATGGACACGAGGATCCATGGCCCCGAGTCATGCTCTACAAATAGCAACACTAAGCGTCGATGAGCAATGGAGAGTGGACGAGAGTCAGAACCCACAGGGGAGCGGCGTCAAACCGCATGCAGCCGAGCAGGGTCGACAGCAGCGGGCGTCCGCCACACCGCGGTCCATTGAGGTGTCCAGTGACTGGAAGGCACCAAACCCATGCTTTATTCAAACAAAAGTACAAAAAAAATTGATTGTATTGAAACACCGAAGTCAAGCAAAACTGGCTGCGGTCAGTAAGCGGGTGGATCACCACTTTGATTAGTCTGAGTAGGGACTGAGGGTGAGCGGTATCGGTCCTCGTAAGACTGTTCTGCTGTAAAGTATTCGACTTCGCGCAGGCCGTCTGTCTACCAAAGCAGGTTAGCCATCCCCTCTGCAGAGGATTAGAATTGAGATGGCATATCTTCGTATCATCCTCAAGGATGTTTCCCAGATAGTTGCCAATAGCACATCGTGCAGCTCTAGTGCGATGTTAATAAAGTACCTACATACCTACGTCACCTGTAGCTACTACGTCTCCACAAAGCTTTGAAAGTTTAAAGCTTGTTTTAAATCGCACAGATATATGCAGCAGCAAGTATCTTAGCAAAACAAAAAAATTTGATCTCTTTCTGATTCAAGATTCTAGTTATTATTTAATCTTTCTGAAATAAATATAGGACATTAACTTTTCTGATAAATATAATTCCGAATTAGGATGAGTTACTTTAATGATTCAACCGATACTTTTAATGATTCAACTGATGACGAGCAGGTTGAGTTTGATTTTTTATGTATTCTGTAATCAAAGCATGGAACTGTTTTTCTCATATTTCTTTTAATTATGGTATCTGAGTGATTTTTATTAATTCATTCGACTTTAATATGAAATCAAATTATAATATTAATTTGGTTTCGTATTAAAGTGGAAGAAATGTGAGTCGTTTGTAACAATTGTAACGAACCTAACTATTATTTTTTTATAGTAACTGATATAGTTACAAGTCAAATGACACTGATACCTTTTGAGAGGTCTGTCAAAACATTTTATAAAACTATAGATTTTTACTAAACTTTGCGTTAATTCATTAAAATTAAGAGCATAAAGTATTAAAATTAAATTTTTTTAAAAAAACTGGGTTTTAAAACAAAAACTATTGTGATGGATCTATTTTCAAGACGAAATATTGGTGTAGAATTGCTTAAGGATATTTTTATATTGATGCCTGTTTGGTGCTAGTAAGTTTTTGTCAGCAGTGAACAAAATTGTCCGCTTTTTTCTTTTGTAAACAACTAGTTTTATAATCATGCATCTAATGACTAGTTGCTTTAATATAGTACATAGGTTATTCCCTACAAATTGGCTATTTTCTGGTAGGGACAACAATTACAAAAATTAATAATTTTCTGTAATTAGCTACTAAACAAAAAAAATAGCAGTCTCTCTTATTATTAAAATAAAATGCTTTTATTATTTTAAGTATTTATTAAAGTGAGTTTATGATAGCATAGTATGAGAACAATAATTCTAGTCACAAACATGTTTAAAATAGTATTTTTAATGAACATGTTTAAGTAGATCCTTAGTCCTTAATTGCTTTTTGAAATATATATTATCCATTGCTGCCAAGTATTAACTATTAAATATCGAAAATTTAACCGTTTATTAGCTATTATTCGCTAATTCNAAATAAATTATGGACTGCCAATTTTTAACAGGTTTTGATTAATTCCATCTTTTTTAACCACTAAGAACCTACTTTTTATCATGTTTTGGTAAAACTGGTTATTAAAATCTAACCTGAACCATATAATTACAAATGTTATTTGAGAGTTTCAGCTATTGAAGAAGTGCTTGATTCCAAAAAGATCAGTTTTAGGAAGCAACTCTAAGGGTAGAATCGTATTACTGAATAAAAAAAGTCTATTTTTCTGCTCATTATTGAGATTTATAATTTTATTCGTTAGTGTCAAGATCGTCGTAGCTATTTGATAGGAGAATTCAGATGAAGGATTTCTGACTGATTTAGAAGATGTGATTGGCTGTTGCAAATTCATGAAGCTGGTAAAGTTGCTGTTGATTGGGAGTTTTCTTTAAAGAACAATTGCTGCCAGCTCTAAATATATCTTAATGAGTAAATATCTACCTGATTTTTTCATTGCAGGTCCACATATAAGAAAAACAAGTACCAGAGGTTCACATTTAATAAGGAAGATGCAGATACATAGACAATCAAAACCGACAAAATTCCAAGAGCTCTACACTCTTTAAAATCATAAAGCCACCTTCAAGGTTAATGCCTAAACATATACACATAACTAAGAGTAGAAAATGAAACCACGGTCCACACATGGTTACATTTTTCTGAATTAACGAATAATTATATGATAGTGTTTTCTTTAAATAATTATTAAAATAGACTCAAATTAAATTCTAATTTGAAATGTATTCTTAAAAGTATTTTTTCTTATTGAAGGAAAAAGATTCCGTTTATAATTATCATTATGATTGCATCTCATTATTTTTACCTTCTATAAATTATTATTTTCTTTTTATAATGTTTTATGGTATGTTACCATTAATTTTAGTCTCATCTGTTTTAAAAAATAATTTTTTATAGATAATTTAATTGTTTTTCAAGCAAAATACAAAGGTTTTTTTTTTAAGTCATGAACGTGGTATAAGTATTAAAAACTGTAGTGTAAAAATAAATTATTGGTATTAATTTCTTTGAACTCACTAATTCTATTAAATTGTTTCAACTATTAACCACTGCATGTTATGAGAAAAAGTGTAAAATAGAAGTAAGTAAAAAGTTTTTAAGAACTTAAATTGAAACCATTACATTAATGAATTAAAATTTAGGCATCGTTTATTTGAAACATTTTAAATTTTAATTCAAAAATTAATTTAATTTGCATGGAATGCCTGATTTTCTCTTTTTACTAACATTACGCTTATTGTTTTGGGTATAAACAATTTTCCTGCATTTATATTTTGTTTTGAAAAATGACTTAAGAGAATGCTATACCCTTAAGGAAACTTTTCATTGAAAGTTCTCTTTCATCTCCATAACTAAGTGTAGAAAAATTGAGCTCAGACAAACCTAGAGTAAGTTATCAAGTTTAAATCGCTGAAATTTTTTTTTTAAATTTCAAAATGCAAACAATTTATTGGAAGTAACCATTGCATAAGCAGAAGTTATCTTCTCATAATTTATTTTCATTTTGATATGTTTAATACTTTATTACCAGTATTAGAAACTTTATGACTTACTCTAGGTTTGTCTGAACTCACTTTTTCTTTAATTTAAATAAGTTATTAAGGTGAAAGAGAATTTGCAACGAAAAGTTTCTCGTGTGGTATGACGTCCTCTTAAGCATAATTTTGCTCATTTAGTAGTATAAAAATATTTCTTGATCTTCTGTCAGCGCTTACAATTGTTTGGACCAAAGCTTAATGTTGCCTTCTACGTTTAATCATGAAGTATACACACATAACTTTTAAGTAGTATTTACATATGCAATTACTGGTAAGAATATATTTAGACTAAAAATTTCTTTACAATGACAATTTAATAAACATAATATATCTTTAATTATGGTAAATTAAGAAAATATTTTTGAAGAAATTATCCAGATAAAAAACAATGGGTCCGAACCAATTATTTTTTGCTAACCTTGTATTTCTACTTATCAAATTATTTCCTGATAGCCTTTAAAGTTTGAACCTATGTTAGTGATCAATTTGATTGTCATTTATTTTATTGCATCTTTTTTTCCAGATGCAGAATGTACTTTAAACCCTCCTTATAATAGTTCTACAAAGTGAACCACTTATTCATACATTTTGCGAAAAGCTTACAAAAGCACCTTCCTCAAAAATGGCTGCAATTTGCCTGAAAGTGTAAGTTTTATTTTAATGCTGAGCTCTGAATATGTTTGGATATGTATATGATTCTGAATGTTTGTGTATCACTGTATCTTAAAAAAGATATTTTTATAAATTCTGTGTGAATATAGACCCATACTTGTACAGTTTGTTTCTACAGTTGTGCCATTCCTGAAATAGATTGTTTGAAATTGAGGAAAACTTAATTTGTTTGGAGCTTGGATCGTGTAAACTAGGGGTGCACAACCTTTTTTAGTGAAAGGCCACTTGCACTGCAGGTTGACTAACAAAGGGCCGCACATGTATTTGGACATGTTAACAGCAAATGTAGTACCTAATATTTATTTAAACATTAGTAATTTTTTTTATCAATAAGCTTAGCAGTATATTTGTAGAAAATTAAAGGCGTTCAATTATTAAAATTCATAAAAAAAACTAAAAAAAATTTTTTTTTAAAAATTTCCATTTTTATCATATCAAAGTAAATAAATAAACATTGGAGAAAAGAAATGCTTTTTTTATCATAATTTGCAATACAAAAATTTAATTTAAAAATAAATAAAAAAGAAGCCAATGCTCATAGAATGAAAGGAAGAAATTTAGTACATAATTTAAGTAATGTAAATTCAAAATAAATATTTTAGTTGAATAAAATTAAACAATAGCCTAAAATAAAAACTAAACTGTTATAGTTCAGAATAAAATCCAATTCTTATTTGGTAGTGTACTTTATTATTTCTTTTTTTTTATTATTCAATTTTTTTTATATAGTAAACGTTTTCTTTTTTTTTAATGAAAAAGATCACTTAAATTGAAATCGAAACTACAAACAGTGAGCAGTTTAAAAATTCATGTTTTTCGCCTCTTTATGAATTTCTCAGGTTTCAATAACTTTGCATTAAAATTAGGGATGTTACGAGTATTTGGACCTTTTGTCAAAAAATCAGTTGTTCGAATGATCATCCAAATATTCAGCGGAATTATTTTTTAGAAAAGTATTTATTTATTTAATTTTTTTAAAATTTATATAGATATGATAAAGAAAGATATAAAATAGTATTTTTAACTATGTTACAATATTGTTTATTATTAGATCTAATTTTTACACAAATTTCTTAAATTTTAAAATCCATGTTTCTGCACATGGCTAGCAAATTTATCACGTAGAAGACAATTGGAAAAACTAAATTTGAGGAATTGAAACTAGATTAGTTTACATTGAACCACAAGTTTTGGCTTTTTTTAAAATATATATATGTTTATTCAGATAAGTAAATTTCGTCATTTTTTCGATACTTTTAATTCTAAGAATTGAGAAGGATTTTTTTTTTCATTTTTGCTGGTTTCATTATTGGTATTTAACAGAATGTCTCATACTATTAATTTATTATCACTTTTTCCCTGTGCTGTAATATGAATAACCAGAAACATAGTACTGTGATTTTCAGTATTAAAGTTTTGTTTTAGGAACTAAGAACAATTTATTTTTTCTGTTTTTCTTTTAAATTAACTTTTCCTTTTGTAGGCATTTTTTTTAATAAACGTTACTAATAAACTATTTTATATCAATTTTTTTCTTCTAAAAATATGGCAATATGAAACATTTAAATTGAGATTTTCAGCATAAAATTTTCATTAAAAAAATGAAGAACGTTTTTTGTTTTTGTTTCTATCTAGCTTTTTTTTAAAAAAAAATCTTTTTATAGACTTTTTTATTATAACGTGGCAATTTTCAAGAGCATTTCTGTTAGACTTAATTCTTTTTTCTTGACTTTTTCTGGCAATTGGAGAACTGAGATGTTCAGCCATAAAATTTTCTTTAGAAAATTGAGATCGATTTTTATTTTTAATGTTTCGCTTTTTTCATATAATCTTTAGTTTTTATGACAGCAAGGCATTTTTAAAAGCGTTTCTGATAGGCCTTAGCGTTGATTTATGAATATGTTTTTCCAGAAAATAATATTCTTAGCATTGAAATTTTGGTTTCAGTGTTGCTATGGTGCTAAAAATACTCTTTGCCCCCGAATGTACATTAGTCGCTTTTTTTTTTTTTTTTTNTTTTTTTTTTTTTTTTTTGCCAAATATTTGGTTTTTGACCAAATCACAATTCATTACCCCATTCGACCAAATCATATTCATTGCCAAAAATACGAAGAAAAAATAGCTAGGATTTACGATAAAACTGGACCGAAATACCGTATCAAAAAGTGAGTATTTAAATTCGTGATTAGAAATGCATGTGTCGTAATAACATTGTAGTTAAATAACGGGATCGTCAAAATCACATGTAAAATTATACCAATAATTGAAAACAAAAATTAATCACATTTATGCTGAACTCAACACGAATAAAGCATGTGAAATGCGAAATTTTTTTTATTCGAAATTATCAGAATTTTTTATAGTTCATTGGAATGCATAGCAATAACTGTCGAAAAAAATATTTTAGTAAGGGAATTGCAAAAAAAGATAAAACAATCACTTAGATTTACAATGGATGGTGTTTTTAATATAAATGTAAGCAATATCTATCTATCATATACAGTGAAACCTCCGTTAAGCGGACATTCATGGGACCAAAAAATTTCTCCGTTTATAAGAGTTGTCCGTTTACGGGAAGGGTACCCTAATAACGAAATTTAACACCGTAAATTGTTTTTAGAATATTCTCTAGGTTGTAGAAATAATTAAATAATATCTACAAAGATACTGTAAATATCTACAAGAATATTTATTTAAACAATANATTACCCCATTCAACCAAATCATATTCATTGCCAAAAATATGAAGAAAAAATAACTAGGATTTACGATAAAACTGGACCGAAATACCGTATCAAAAAGTGAGTATTTAAATTCATGATTAGAAATGCACGTGTCGTAATAACATCTTAGTTAAATAACGGGATCGTCAAAATCACATGTAAAATTATACCAATAATTGAAAACAAAAATTAATCACATTTATGCTGAACTGCGACATTTTTTTTATTTGAAATTATCAGAATTTTTTATATGGAATGCATAGCAATAACTGTCGAAAAAAATATTTGAATAAGGGAATTGCAAAAAAAGATAAAACAATCTCTTAGATTTACAATGGATGGTGTTTTTAATATAAATGTAAGCAATATCTATCTATCATATAAAATATATTATGTAAAGAATCTACTATATAATAATTTTTCATGTAATAAATATATTATATAAAAAAATGCAATTAGTGTGTAAAAAATTGTTTAAATGGTATAAACACACAAACAAAAAACATAAGATTTAATTTAATTACAACCATTTCTATTCTCAAAAACTTTAAAATGAAGCACCTGAACTCTTGTGAATACGAATTTATTTCAATAAGTTATTTTCAGAAACAGAAAAAGAGTCTCTGTATTTCAATTTATTTAGAAAAAGTAATGTCCGGTTTGTAGAGATAAAAAAACAACGTTTCAGGACCAAAATGAGAACCAAACTCTTGTATTTTTCGATTATCCCCTGTTTGCCAGTATATTCTCAAATTTCTCCTTATTTGTTGAAGAAATTTGGCAATAAAATATCCGCTGATGGCACAAATATTTCTTATTCCTCAACAGATGGTGCTATTGCCAGTACTGCAGTATGTTAGGTGTTAATAGTTTAAGTAATTATAAATAATGGTTTAAAAAATAATCTTTGGATTAAGATTTATATACATGTTTTTTACTTTAACTAAATATAAGTGCATAAATTATTTTCGATTTCGACTTTCTCTTTTTGACTTACATGATTATGCGTGATGTATAAAAAATTTACTTGTAGCCTAAAAAATGTTGCTAGTAAAATCTCTGTTATTTTATTTCTCCAATGTTGGCAGGTATGCTTTACTGCCTTAGAAAAAAAAAATTTTAGGCAAATGCTGTCATCAATCTAACAAATTTTTTTTAAAAAAAGAAGCAAATATTGTGTTTCATCTGCTTTTATTTATCATGTATTTTTAAAAGTTTTCATTTTTAAAAGAAATTTTATAAATGTGCATTAATACATTCGTAAATAAATTTTAATATTTTATTACTCAGGAAAGTTTATTTATTCTTGATTCCACTTTTCTAAATTCATGCTACTACTTCCTTTTATGGCTGATACATAATCTTACTTTTTTTTACTTAAATGATTTAATTTATGATTGGTTTTTATAAATGTCAAGTGATTAAAATCATGATTTAGGGTGCTGATTTTATTCAATTGATTCACATTGTGTAAAACTTAACATGATAATAACTATTGTAAATTTATTTTTAGTTGGTGCAATCATGCCAAACGATTGCATATAAGTATTGTTTTTTTAAATTATTGAGGAAAAAATAAAAATCAGCATCATCTTAGTTGGTCAGATAGCCCAATGTGGGCCAATGCCTTCCTCTGAAGATTTCTCCATAAAGACTTCCAATTTATCTTTGTCTCCAATTCTTTTCATTTATTGCAAGAAAATCAGACTCCACTGAATCAGCCCATTTCAACCACTGTCTTTCCCGCTTTCTTGTTTCAATGGGTCTAAAAAGCAGTATCTTTTTTTATTTTTTATTGTCATACATTTGAATCACAGGGTCCATGCAATTCATTCTATTTATTTTTTATGTATTTAATAATATCAGGTTGTTTATAAATCGTGTACAGTTTAAAGTTAAATCTCTTCCAATTATTGTTTTCATTTACACGTCCAAGTATACTCCGCAAAATCTTTATCTCAAATATTGTGACACAATTTCCTCCTGTGTCGTCATTGTCCAAGCTTCAGAGGCATATGTCAAGGCAATAGTTTTGTAAATTTAGAACTTTGTTTTTCTAGAGAGAAACCTCAAAAAAATAAATATGTACTTGTAATAATATAGATCAGAGCTTTTCAAACTTTTTGAGTGACATAGCAGCTTTGTTACTATTAATTTTATTCTCAGCTATTTACTGTATTTAATAAATTAAACAGCAAAATAGCATTAGTAATGTAATGTTAGGAAAGAAGATTTTTAAGTTTGATATTTATTTATCATATGCAAGCCCAATTTATTTATTGTTCTTGACTGTTTACGATTTCTTTTTTTCCCTTTACTTTCATTCCTTCTAAAAAAACAAATGCGTATGATGAGCTAAACATCATACTTTACTGAGCGTATTTTAAGTTAAAATTTTTTAAATCAACAATTTTTTCCCGATACTTTTCATAGTAAACATATTCTTCCGCGTAAACAATGTCTGGTGAACTAACTTTGAACTTTACTGATTGTAGTATAAGTTAACATTTATTCACAATTCTTCTTATTTACTTCTTTTTTTTCTTTAAATGTATTCTTCAATGTCTGGTGAATTAAGCTTCATACTTTACTGAATATATTTCAAGTGAAAAAAATTTATCAAATTTTTTTTTTCCTTCACTAAAAATATTCTTTGTAAACTAAGTCTAGTGATCGGGAGAACAGGGAAAGCCTGGAATTGTCAGGTAATTTTATTTTAACTCCAAAGATCGGGTAAAGTTGCAATTTTTTACGAAACTCTGGAAAATTCCTATATCATACCTGGAAAATAACTAGTCTTTGAATTGTCTATAACAGTAATCAGTTATTGAAATTGGCAATAAATAATTATTCTTCTGGAAGTCCGGATAATAGATTTTTCCATATAATAGACTCCCTAGGTAAACAAAGCTTAACCCCTTAAAGATCGGTTAATTTTCAAGAAAACGGTCATAAAAGTGTCTATTTTGCCAAATACACGTATTTGATTAGTACTAGTATCTAGCTTAAAAGAAACTAACTATTTACAATTACCTTAAAAATATCCTGGTACTGCTATATGGTGAGTAAAATGAGAATTAAAATGTTTTCCAGGCAAAAGAAATGAATTAGTTTTATTCTTATTGGCGCATTACTACAGAACACTCCAGCCTGTCGATATCACTAGAGCAAGAAATAGCGAGCAAAAACATGCCCCGACATTTTCACGGGAGCGAGAAGTAAGGGGTTAAAACGATCTGAATCTAAGAAGCAAAAAGTGAAAAAGCATTATTTTTTAAGCAATAATGTTTTAGTATTAGAATGATTTCTAATCAATCAAAAACAAAATATTAGAAAAAAAATAATTTTTGCTAAAAATATGGAAAACGAAAAACAATTTGACAGTTATGAAAGTATTAATTACACTCTCAGCCGTTTTGAACTAGAACGATTCAAGCAAGAAGTGGGAATTCCCGTCATTCGTTAAGGTGGGTAGGTGGAAGAGAAAAATTCACTTCCTCCTCATTTGTATAGAGAAAATATGCGCAAAGAGGAGATCGTTCAAGTTGAGGAGAATCTGGTTAGTAGTTGTTAAAACAACATTAAAGAGTGGATCTTGAAGTCTTTTTCATGACAATGCTAAAGAATGAATGTTACCCCCTTTTTTTCCCCACCTTCTAAATATTACATGGTCAAGGGATGAACGGATGTTTCTCAAGGACGTGTATCCTTTTAGACCTATTTAACTTTTCCATTTTGACTCCCCCTCCTCTTTAACGTTCGCCATGTTTACCCTTTTCTACAGTATTTCTTCTTTTCCTAGCACTCTAATAAAAAGGTTCCAGGAAATGCCTCTTTTACTTGCCAGCTGCATAGGAAAGAAGGTGTGGAGGGGACTCAGTTGCGCTCTTTTGAAAAGAAATCTCCCTCATTTCCTGCATTCCTGAGGAGGAGCGTGACTCGACGGTCTTGCAGGGTATCCACGCTCCTGGAAAGTCATGAATTTTAGTATTGAACAAAATTTGTCATGATTTTTACCATTTTTTAAAAAAAAATCATGGAAATTCATGGATTTAGGTCTCCGAAAAATCTAATTTTTAAAATGGAATCCCCCCCAATTTCATCCTGTTCCAAATATCTGAATTCCTAACAAAAGAGCCACTCCATCATATTTTATTAGAATATAAAATGATTTCATCATGTTCTTTAAAAATTAGGATGTTCTTTCAAAAAATGTAAGGAAAAACATCATTTCTAGAGCGAATTATCTTTTACAGGGCTCCCACTGTGCTTGAAAAACCTTGAAAGTCCTTGAATTTGGTTGAAAAAAACCTGGGGCCTTAAAAGTCCTTGAATTCTGCAATAGAGTACTTGAAAAGTACTTGATTTCTTGGGAATTAAAATACTACTAATTTTTTTTACAAAAAAGTAGTAAAAAAAAAAACATAAATTCAACCTAAAATTATAGAAATTCTGATAGATGCAACTTTTAATGCTTGAAATGAAAATGGGTTAAAGAAGATGCAAAACTTTTCTGGCAGATTATTGTTCATCTCCGATGTTTTGAAAGCTGAAATTTCTAACAAATTTTAGGTTTTGTAGTCCTAGTTTTCGAATGATATATAGTGTTTAATTGATTTAGAAATATGTTAACTTCATTATTACGCCAGGTTAATATTGTTATCCTATTTGTTCTTTTAATTTATTTAGGAAGGATAATTAATTTTTTATCATTTATAATAAAATTTTTTGCGTTTTAATTGAAAGTGATTAATGGAACACTTATCTAATATTACTTTAAGGTGATTTGCAAATAAGTAATCAGAATTCATATTATGGTATTTTATAAATCACGCATGATTCTTACTAAGTGATTTATCAATCACACATCATGATTTCAATTAAAGTAATTTCAGAATCATGCCTCACAAATCTCATTTTAGTAGTTAACAAATCACGCATTGCGATTCGCAAAAGAGAAATTTAAGAATTACCACCCACAATTCTTATCAAAATGATTTAAGAATCACACATAGCTGTTCTATATTAAGCACCTTTCAAATCATTAATTGCAATTTGCATTATAATGATCACTATTCACATGAAAACTATTAGCTAATCACACAACAGAATTCACATTAAAGTGATTTATGTATATCACATTGTGATTTATGTCTTGTAAGTTCGTGTATTTTGTATAATTTGCCATTCATATTATTCTGATTTAAGAAACATACACTGCAATTCAATTTCAATTTACAAATCACACATTGTGATATGTGATTTACGCAATCTTCGAGACTTACTTCACCTTTTTTATAATTTTGATTTACATATAGTATATCTAGATTCGTATAAATGTGGGTTAAAAATTACGCTTAGGAAAAATTATATGTATTCACAAAATTTCAAAAATCATGCTTGACATTTTATGGATATATTTTAAAGCAAATAAAGCGCGGTAGATCTTAGTTAGTTATGTGCGAAATATAATTCTACAAAAGATTTGATTATGTTCAAAATACATTACAGATATTCTGAAGTAACAAAATAGAAAATTTGATATTAAAATTGAAACAGATATGTTAAATAGATATATTTTGATAATTTATCTAATTATATACATTTCCTGTAACCTAAAATTTGATCTAACATATTAAAAAAAAGTATTTATATTTTAATAACAGTGCAATTCACAAACTTTATCAATTATTTACTATGCTTGTTTAATGTAATTTGCATTATACATTCATTCATTTTCATTAATTCCAATTCACTTCATAAAATTTTTCATGAAAAGCTTTACTGATGCTAGTTTTTAAATGTTGGCTAGTATCCTATGCCAATTGGAGTTTTTTTTTTTTTTTTTTTTCTCTATTGGAATTTTTCGAAGTGATTTTTGAAACAGCAATGTAACTATCAATCATTTGTATTATTAGCTGATAAATTCAATAAATAATTTTTTTTTGTTGTCAAATAAGCATTGTGATTTAAAAATATACAATTTCTTCTTCTACGTAATTGTAAAATCTGGTTAACTTGTACTTTAGCATATAACAATAATACCGAATAGGTGCTTGAAAAATTTGATTTTAGGTCCTTGAAAGTCATGGAAAAGTCCTTGAATTTTTTTTAAAAAATTGAGTGGGAACCCTGTTTTAAACTTTTGTGATTTAAGAATTTTTATTATTATTATTTTTTTTAATTTTATCAATTTAAAATTCTAGTTAAAGCAAACCAGTCATTGGTAAATTTTTTTTATTCGGAAATGAGAACAGAAAAATCTGAAGTATTTCTTTCCTTTTGTATTTTTTTCAGCTATTTTATTGTTTCAGCTCTTTCTTTACTCTGTTTTTAAAATTTGAGATCTATAAATATGAAGATGCAGAGTATAACAGTTTTGGTTATACCTATTTCAATTAATGTTATTATAATGCTTTTTTAAATTTATTGTTGTGTTTTTGTCTGAGAGAATAGTAACTTCGTGAAATCATGAAAAATTCTTGGAATGGAAAATCATGAAAAGTCATGAATTTGAAAATCTAAAATGTAGCTGATACCTTGGTCTTGGTAGATCTTCTCCTTTCTGGTTTCTGATGATTAACGGGTTCAATGCATTAATCACTAAAAGCTAGAAAGGGGAAAAATATGTCAAAAGACCTCTTTCTTTCTTTTTTTTTTAAGAGATGGGAAGATGAAGAGATATTTGTTTATTTTGATTGTTAAAAAGTGTCCGGGAAATCGACCCTTCTGAAAAAGGGGCGTCCAGATATGAGATGTTACACTGAGTTTTCTTTGATGTAAATAATGTCTGGTGAACTAAGCTTTATACTTATCTGAATTTAAATTTNTTTTTTTTTTTTTTTTTTTTTTTTTTTTTGTATTGAGTATTTTTTTTCAATCATTAACAAAATAACTAATGAAGAATTTAATATAGTTAGTTACTATTTAAATAAAAATTAGTGTGTTTATTTTATTAGTGAGGTGGCTTTCCAAAGTAAGGATTGATTTACTTGGAACTTACACTGAAGACAATGCTTCACAAGCTAGAGATGATACTCATAAGTAAGCTATGTACATTCTTAATTTTTTAGTGCATCACATAATTGTAACACTATTTGAATTGAATGTGGATTATTTCCCTCTATCAGAATTTTTTCAAGCTATCTGTAACAAAACTCTCTAGCACTGATATCTATCTGCAAGACACTTTTAATAATAACAAACATATCTGCTACTAATTTAAATAACGAAAACGTGTTTACAAAAAGAAACTAGAATATATACTTCTTTAATTGAACATGTAATAATTTTTTGTTCTAATATTATGGGTGATATTCTCACATTTTGTTGGAGAGGAACGGACAAATTATTTCCTTCTTCACATTTTCTAAATAATCATCGCAATAAAAATTATGAAATCCGTATTGGTAATTGCCGTAAATAAGATCGACAACGAAATCACACGAATCTTCAGAAGTGAAGAAGTCCTCATGAATGTTAAAATATTTTCAAACACCAAAATATTACAAAAATTGAAACTAGCATATGACGCGTAAAGAAGAAAATTTAGTCAGGGGATGAATTGAGCCCGGACGAAATAAAAGATACGGCAGAATCTTATAGTGTGTTTAATTCGTGTCATGTGATTTCATTATATGTATGTTTAAATATAAAAGTATTGCACATAAACTTATGCAAAACATGTCATTATTAAAAAACTACCTTTCATCTAATAATTTGGCCCAATACTGTAGGTGACAAGATATTTGAGCTTCAATTATTAAGAATTAGACAAAGTTAACTGTTGCAATTTCAGGAATCTCATTCTTTTCGCACCTCACTAGTAGAATATGAGATCTGTGTTGGAAAAAAAAAACAGAAGAAAAAATTTTATTAAAGTTAAAATAGTGTTGTCCTTTTCTTTTAATAGCAACCTTATATGAGATTCATGATGTCATCAATTTGTACAATTTAAAAATGACATTTTTATTGTAGTGCGGTGTTGCACAACCTGTGACCCACAAGTGGTCAATGTCAAAAAATATTTAATTTCACTACATATAAGTAAAAGTGTATTCTCATATTGTAGTTAGATCGTTTTCTTGACCGATAGTGAATAAAAGATAAACGTACCACGCAACCAGTATCCCAAATAACTAATCACTAAATTCAACCAACAGCAGTATTAATATTTTATGCTGCATTTTCTGACTACTCAACTTCACTCAATACTTTTTGAATCTTTGTTTACTTGCAATACTCGGATACTTTCTCCAGTTTTAAATATTGATTGAATTTTAATTTTTAGTTCAAGTATTATTTATGCTATTTGTTTGCCATTTGTTGCTATTTGTTTTGTTATCAATAAGGAAAAATAACAGGGAATTAAAAAAGCACCTAAAATAACAGTGAAATTGCAGGGAATTTTTAGTTTTTCTATACAAACTGGGAAAATACAACCGGGAATTTTGTTTCTTATTTTCGTCTTTTAAAGGATGGTGACCACTCAAAGCTTAATTTATGGGATATTTCAGAATATTTCAGCTATAGTACACTATTTCATTTCCTATGGCATTGTTTAAGTATGTTCAGCTGTTCCCTTTTTGTTTTCTCATAAGTTTTTCCAGAAATTAAAGCTAGAATAGTTAGCCCACACAAGAGCACAGCAATTGTGTTTCCTCTTAATATATTGTGTACAGGAAAAACGCATGAAATTTTTTTTCCAGATTTGAGTGACAAGCCTGTGTACTGTAAAACCCTTTTATTGTGATTGCACATTAATCAAGGCGTGTAGCGTTTTTAATAAGTGATTAAAGTTGCTTATTTTTGATTTTGAAACTTTTGGTTTATGAAGTAGGTGCTAATTTAGTTAGAATATTGTTAGCTCTTGTTACTTATCAGGTGAATCAATTGAACATATCTGATCTGAATAGATTATCAGGTGACATTGTAGAATGCTATTCATATGACCATGGGTACAACTCTTCAGGACTAAAGTGAGTCTTGAGAAAGTCAGTGGTCTAAATTTTGTCCTTCAATTAATATCTGTTTTTAGTTAATTTTTCCAAAAATGTTTTTTTTTTTTATCTTAAAAAAATTATAAAAATAATATTTGCTAGAAGTAAATAAAGAAATTATTACTTTTCCATAATTTTTGCTGTATCCCTTTGTTGATGTTTTAAAAGAATGCGGAAAGTTAAATTCAGATTGTTTTTATTTATTTATTTAATGAAATTTATGGTAATTAAGGTAAGATTAGTGATGATGAAGTGATCAAATAAATGATGGATAAAAAAAAAGTTAGTGATGTATTTATTCAGCAAGTACTGTAAAATGATTACTAAGTTAATTATTAAATTTGTTTCGTTTGCCGTAAAAATGGACTAAAAAAATGAAGAAATGTAAAAAATTTCGTTTAAGAAAAACAAGTCATTAATATAATTTGTGGGCCATACTTGTGGATAGGTACACTTTGCTGTCAATGAGCTATTTATTTCTGAAAATTCTTCTAAACTACGCTAGACCGTGTTGATTAGTTTAAAAAGTTCAGTGTTAAAAATTTTTTAGAGTGGCTCCCTTGTTAATACAAAGCAACATGTTTGGATGCTGATGATTTAAAATTTTTCTTTAGATTTCAACCAGAATAACTCAAAAATAAGTGTCCTTGGACTACCATTGCATAAATTGTGTCTCAATGGTGCAATTGTCGTGTTAGAAATTTAAGCGTAGCAGATGATTTGTGTAATGGCACTAGGCTAGTTGCAAAGAAAAATGACTAAATCAGTTCTATTTTGTACCATCGTAGACCTGAGAATATTGCATGTACCACAAGGGTAACATTAAGCACTAATTATATCTTACGCACTTTGATTATATCTTAGGACAAATTTTAAATTTTCTGAGTTTGAAAAGTAGTTAATTCTTTTTATTATTAGCTTTATTAAATTATTAGCAATTCTTATTTCATCAGAAATGTGTGTACGATACATTAAAAGCCTTTGTTTGAATATATAGGTGTATTGTGACCTCCCTTGGTGATCCCAATACTTTTTTGATGGACCATCTACTGGCCCTGGAACCTGTGTGTTTCCTGGAAGGAGAATTTATTCATGATTTTCTCACCATATTTGTATCAGAAAAACTTTCATCCTACTTGATGCTGTCAACAAAGATATTGTGAACTCTTTAGGTAAACTCTTTCATTGAAAATCCTTAATTAGTTTTAAAGAGGTTCAAATTTATTAAGATGACCAAAAGCTATAGTTCTGACATCTGTCATCTTAATACAATTACAAAAATAATACTTTACTCCGAATCAGAACTTCTATCAAAGCTCTCTATCTCACTCTATTTGTGGCCAGATGCTTTGCCTCTATATTTTTTTCAATTCACTTATATCAACCTACACCAAGTATTTTTAGGTCTTCCTCTTTTTCTATTGCCTTGAAGGTTCCAATTTAAAACTTGTTTATGTAAAATATGACCAATCCATTTCCATGCATGTGATTATTCAAATAATTTGCAGACTTCCGCGAATCAATCATTTATATGCAGACAAAATTTTCTCGGAGTTCCATTAATCTAAAATATAAATTTAGTTACTTATGCAAAATCTCGTTAACGAGACACATTTATTCCGACCTTACCAGCACCCTTTGTTTTTCTTCCTAGGTTCTCGTTCATGTGCGATAACTACTGTTTTTTACGCGGATTTGTTAAAGGAAAACACAACTTTGGATAATTTTTGAGAACAAGAGACTGAAGAGAAAAATTCATGATAACTTTGGTCAAAATTAAGAAGCTAACACAAATATATAAAATCGATAATCTAAAAAGTAATTCCGAAATGGCAAACATTTAAAAGATCATTTCGCCAGAAAGAAATGTGTTTTTTCTCATTTTTTTAAAACTTGTATTTTAATGAGTAGCAAGTTTGTTGCAAATTTCAATTTGTTACAGAATATAATCAATGTGGTATAATTTCTCCCTTTTATATTTGGCTACAATTCGAACAAATTAATGTTTAGTATCTGTTTACGACATAGAAAATTCAATTCGTGAATTTCAATAATCACTTTTCAATGTGCTGGATTGCATCGTAAATTATAATTAATCTGGCAGTTAACACAATTGGTTTTCTCATAGTTTTTAAAATTCCGATATTATTACGGGGTGCAAAATTTTAATCGCACATTTGTGTAATTACTTTATACAAGCTTGATTTGTGCTAAATCCATGCAGCATTTCAATCTTTTTTTTCTTCTTCATTTCCACATGTTTTTTTTAAAAATCCGATTATTTGTTACGGAAAATTCAAATCGTGCAACTGATTGTTCACTATTTGATGCAATAATTCTGCAGTTTTTTTTAATCATTTTTTAGGCAGTTATCAATACTAGTTTTCACATATTCTTTAAAATATCGCTTTTTTTTAATACAATATTTTTCACACCACTTGAATCTAAAAACATACATTTAATTAACCCCTTTTTAACATATCCAATTCATGAAAAAGGAAAAATGCATGGCAAGAAAAAGAAATTCAGATAATTTCTCCTTCGTGCAATCACATGTCTGATTTCAATTTACGTTTTTTAATTCCCAGTTCAATTGGTTAAATTAATTTCAACACTTATTGTTTTATTTCTTGTAGTTTTAACTGTTTAGCATTGTTGACACGAAACTGGTTTAACATATGCAGTTTTGGGCAATTTAAAGCAAAAGGGTCAGAACCCATTTTTTAATCCAAGGACTCTCAAAACATGTGTCCCTGGTATTTTCTAGAGTGAGGCTCTGCAATGAAAAATTTAAAAATTTGCTCACTGGCCAATAGACAGCTACATCATTTTTATAACTATGAGTCACTTTTAACCCAAGTCAAAACTTTTGATGGTTTTCTATTGGTGGACCAACATTATCTTGATGGTAACCATCAATAAAATATTTTTTAATGCAGTCATATTGTTTGAAATTTATTGTTATGATTATAATTATTCAGTCAAACCTCGTTAATGTGAAATTGGCGGGACTATCACAATTATTTCATGTTAACCGAATTTTGTTTTATCCGATACATCATAAAAACAATTTATTTCATACATTAATTCAAGTTATGAGCTACATTTATGTATACAAACCATACAAATTAAAATAAGCTTTAAAGTTATAACTACCCAACAAGCACACAACTTTTCGGCTTGTAGATGGACAAGTCCGGCTCTCCAAAAATGCAAATTATAAAGTGTTTTGATGGTTGCTCTATTGGTTCCTTTAATAAAAGGAAATCCGGGCCAAAATTAGGCATGGCATTTCAGGAACAATTTCTGGCAATCATGAAAGAACCAGAACTACTTTGTTGCCCCTGGATTGTATTACCATTTTTGCCTTTTAAATACCGAAAAACAAATTTTATTTCACAGAATTAAAAGAAAATTGCCGTAAAGGCTTTTATTGTACCTTTATGATATCTTTCTTGACATTTTTTTCAATAGCTGAATAGCGTCTTTCCCTCGCTTCTCATTAAAACACCTTCACTGTAGGTTGGTTAGAAAATGCCGATATTGCACCTTTATTTCAGGTGCTTAGACTAATTTCTTTGCCCTTATACCTACCCTTAACTAACCTTACAATTAGTTCATTAGAAAACTTTAATGCCGTCTTTGCCAGTATCATACATTTTTTAGGTGTCTCGTCAATTTTTTTTGTCACTTACTTGCCTTTACTTGAACTTATCGTAGCTTTTAATTTCAAATGCTTTATTTTAATTGCTTAACTTTTATTGCATGCTGTTCATTGCAATTCTTATTTAGGGAACATAAATTGTCATGAGTGTTTTTCTTACTCTGCTGATATCAGCCATTGTAATTCATTGTATTTTAGCTTTTTACTTTGTCATAAGGCAATGCTTATATATTTGAAACCTACATCTATTTTTCTTGATAAATACTTACACACTAAAGTTTATTTAATCTTGAAGTATGTGCCCATTTATGAAATCATTATTTTTCTAAACATATTCAATATTAGAAAAACAAGATGTATCATAACAGGGTTGGGTTTTGCCGTCGAAAACTGGTTTTTGACATGACAGTGGTAAAAACCGTAAAACACCTACTGTTTTCTTTAATTTATGGCATATAGCGGACAATATATTATTTTCACTTAATTGCCTTTATAAATGAATCTTGTAAATGATTGCTATTGATTTTGCAACTATATACATGTATTCTTATAGAAGGATATACATTCATGCAGAAATAATGTAACGTACTTATTGAAAATAGTGATATTTAACTTTTATCATTATAGCTTGATTTGCAAAGGATTAAAAATTTTGCACATCTTAATTGTTAGAAAAAAACAAACAAACAAAAATACTTGGAACTATTAATAAATTCAAGAACTAAAAAGAAGAATTTGAAATTTGGCATTTTTTAAATATTAGAAATAAGCTAAACAAAACTTTCAAAACTTGTAACTACTAACAAACTCTAAGCCAGGAATAACTTGACATTCCTCAGTAATGTAATATGCCAAACAAAATGATGCTTGGAAATGTTGAAAATTTTGTTTAGTATCCTAATATTTTACTTCAAATAGTATGATTTGATATAATCATGTTGGGAAAATGCAAAAATCTGTTCTTAAATATCTTTTAACAACTTTTTTTCTAATTTTATTGCCCAAAAATGAATTAATTTTAAATCATAAGCAGTTAAACTCAAATTAAAATACAGTTTTATCAAAACTATGGGTTTTTGACAGTTTTTGACGTTTTTGACAGAGGGGTTTTTGACATGACGGTAAAAACCATGGTATAAACCGGTAAAAACCGTCATGTGTCAAAAACTTGCCAACCCTGTATCATAAGTATTTCTTTCACAAAATATTTTTCTGCACCTATAAATAACACACCAATTTAATAATTTTAAATAAATAAAGCAAGGGTTTTAAGAAGAATAAAATGCATAAAGCTTAAAATAAGATATGACCTTATGAAAAGAGTATTTTATTTCCATGTTACAAATCAAAGATATGACAATTACATCAATACTGTAGACTATTGCAATAATTTCTTTAGATGCAACCAATTCCAAAAGCTTTACTTTTTAATAAAACTGATCAATGGACCTAGTTTTCCTGAAAAAAATAAATCAATTTATTTTACTATGCATATATTAAATGATATGTACAGAAACAAAATAGCAAAAAAGAAAATAAATAAATAATATTGATAATAATAATTGATTTAAATCAACTGATTTTTTAAAAGCCATTAAGAAAAGCTGACTTTATGAAGATTATTAATTTAATTGTAAAAATATGTTATAAAATTTAATTAATAAATGAATTCTTAAGTTATGATTCTTTTTTTTTTAAGAAAAAAGGTCTTATTTCAGTGATAATGATGGTATATCACTAAGAAATAATGTATGTGATATGCATGTAAATTATTAGTCACATATCCCCTTTAATTATTGTTAAGAAAAGCATTGATTTAAAGAAAGTGATTTGGAAAAATTCAATTGCTTAAATAAACTGATTATTTAACTAACTCTTAATTCAAGTGTAAAAATTTTTTTATAAATTAAAACTAAAAAAAAAACATTATTTAGAGTATATTTTTTTAAGTCTTTTTTCATTATAAGGTTATTTACTAAGAAATGATGAAAGGGATATGCAAGCAAATTATTATATTCCAAAATAGATTAGCTGCCAAAATACATATTTCAATTATACACATTTAATTTTATGCTTATTTAAATGCAGTTCATATATATAGCTTATGGATATCAAGACTTATTCTACCCAAAGTAACTTAATTTTTTTTTCCAGCTATGTAGTCTGATCTAAAGAAATTTAATCTTCTTTAGATATCTAATTGACAAATAACATCCCAAACTTTAACATTCATTAGCAAGTTGAGCATGAAAAACATAACTATGATTTTAATTTTTCAATTATTAGTTTTTTAATAATTTTTAGCATCTTATTTACAGATGTTTACTGTTCTAGCTGTAATAATATTTTTAGGTAATGTCAGGTATTATTGAAAAATTTAATAAGTGTTTTGAATGGTAAATGTAGAAAAAAGAATTATAAAAAAATATAATTTAAGTAAAATCTGTTTATTTTTTTTAAGGATTTTTTTAAACCTTGCAATTTATTAACATTGTATTTCATTTCATT